TTCAGAGGGAGGGGCTGTGGCACCCTGGGCTGAGCCTGCCCTGGCCATGCTGGTCAGGCTGGGAAGCATGGCCAGTAGGATGGGGATCCCTCCTCTCCACCCTCTTCCATCTTCCTGGAAGGCTCAGTAGCCAAGAACAAGGCTGGGCAGGACCATGGGCTGTTTGCAATGGCACAGAGGGCAGGGCAGGGCTCCACTCCATCCAGCCTGTGGGCTGCAGAGTTCTTCAGGACACCCTCCTGGAAAGCCCAGCCCTGGCTCTGGTACAGCCCTCCCTGAGCTGGGCAGGCACAGTGGGAGTTCACTGAGGGCAAGAGGAATCGCTGGCCAGAGTCCTTTCTCTGTTCCTGCTGTGTCCCCTGGGGTTGCAGAACTCTCCTTTACCAGTTCCCAGAGACATTTAGTGCTTTAGCTGTGGGTGACTCCAGTCTGGGCAGGATTCTGCTCCAGGGCTCCAGTCACTGCTGACTGGATGGGATGGGCTGTCCCTGCAGATCCTCTGTGCTCTCCTGCAGTTCCCCATTTCCTACACACAAGGCCTCCCCTGCCATCAGAACCAGCACAAGCTGCAGAGCCCCAGGCAGGTGACTTGGAGACCATTTGCCACTGGCCACCAGCACAGAACATCTGAGCCAGCCCTCAGGCCCTGAAGTACCACAGTGAGTCCTTCCCTCCCTGCACGGCCTGAATGGGGAAACAAGACAAGCAAGGGGACTTTGGAGAGTCTATTCCTTGGCTTGTTCTTTAAACCAACCTCTTAAAAGGAAAAGAGTCTTCAGGAACTGCCCAGGGGGATCCCCTTTTCTGATGGAAATGATGTTAAGAAACCCAGTCCTGTCCCAGCAGTGCCCAGGGCCTGTCCCTGCCCATGGTCACAGCACTGACCCACAGCAGTGACTGAGCTGCCAGAGCACTCAGGCCTTGGTCAAGGAGCAGAAAGGAGAGGGAGGCAGTGGACAAAGAGCATCTCTGAAAAGACCAAGAGCTGCTGCTCCCTGGCAGTGCTCCTGTCCCAGGACTCTCTACCCCTTCTCCTTTGCACACAGGCACTGCCCTCCAGCTGCAGGGAAGTTCTTGGAGCAAGAATCTGAAAAAGGATTCAAGTCCTTTATTATACTCAGAGATTGTCATCCCTCATGTACAGAATATCAAAAACAGGATGTTTGACAAAGAAGTTGCTGCATGAACTTTTTTTTGTTTAAATGCATTCAGGAATGTTCCTCATTTACACAATTGTGGGTCAAAACAAAGAGGTAGAGAGTGAATTAGATATGGGATGAAGAATAAAGTTCTGTGTTAACAACATATAAAGAGAAAAAATACAGGAAAACTCCACCACCACCACTCTCAAAAGGGTTTGAAGGCAGGCTGAGCCAATGAAGTTTTACACAGTCAGTGTTCTGCAAAAGAAAAGAGGCAGGTTACTGCTCCTGAAAAGCATCCAGTCATCATTTTAATTGTGGCATCCTTGAGCTTCTGGTTTCTCACGCTGTAGATGAGGGGGTTCAGTGATGGAGGAACCACCGAGTACAGAACTGACAAGACCAGATCCAGGGATGGGGAGGAGATGGAGGGGGGCTTGAGGTGCGCAAACACTGCAGTGCTGAGGAACAGGGAGACCACGGCCAGGTGAAGGAGGCACGTGGAAAAGGCTTTGTGCCAGCCCTGTTCACTGGGGATCCTCAGCACAGCCCTGAAGATTTGCACATAGGAGAAAACTATGAAAATGGAGCAACCAAAAAAGAAATAAGCACTAAACCCAAAAGTCCCAGTTCCCTTATGCTGGAGTGTGAGCAGGAGAGCTTGAGGATGTGTGGGATTTCACAGAAGAACTGGCCAAGGGCATTGCCCTGGCACAGGGGCAGGGAAAATGTATTGGCTGTGTGAAGCAGAGAATAGAGAAACCCAGTGGCCCAGGCAGCTGCTGCCATGTGGGCACAAGCTCTGCTGCCCAGGAGGGTCCCGTAGTGCAGGGGTTTGCAGATGGCAACGTAGCGGTCGTAGCACATGATGGTCAGGAGGAAATGCTCTGCTGACATGAAGAAGAAAAGGAAAAAGAGCTATGCAGCACATCCTGTGTATGAGATGGTTGTGGTGCCCCAGAGGGAGTTGTGCATGGCTTTGGGCACAGTGGTGCAGATGCAGCCCAGGTCTGTGAGGGAGAGGTGCAGCAGGAAGAAGTCCCTGGGGGTGTGCAGGTGCTGGTCGCGGGCTACGGCGCTGAGGATGAGGCCGTTGCCCAGGAGGGCAGCCAGGGAGATGCCCAGGAAGAGCCAGAAGTGCAGCAGCTGCAGGTCCCGCCTGTCTGCCAATGCCAGCAGCAGGAACTGGGCCATGGAGCTGCTGTTGGGCATTTGCTGCTTCCTCAGAATGTCTGGATCTGTTGAGGAGGAGAAGTCAATGCTGAGTTAGACCAGGCTGCTGCAGCCAAACAGGACACGTCTCACAGCCACCCCACTCTCAGGTTCTCTGTCCTCAGTCAGACCTCCCTGCAGCTCCCTCCCCTGAGCTCTGGCTGTTGCTGCCTGAGGGCACCATTGGAAGCAGGAACTCTGGGATAGGAACCCAAAAACTCCTTCTGGAGGGCACTTGGGCACTTTGCTCCCACACACACATCCCCATAGCAGCACCCACAGGGTTTGTGTCTGCACAGGAATCTGTCCCCTCAAACCCCACACTGGCTCAGAAAACAAAAGGGTGAGAACAAGGAGAGCCCAGGCAGCAGGGGATGTCAGGGAAATGCCCCAGTGCTGCTGCCAAGGGAGGAGGGACAGGCAGAGCCAGATGGAAAGGAGGGCTTTGTCCTTGCCTGGGCTCTGGCTGCTGCAGGGCAATGCCCAGCCCAGCCCCCGTGGGCCTGAGGGCAGAGGCTCTGCTTGGGCTGGCAAAGGAGCCCAGGCAGGAGCTGCTCAGGGAAGGGCTCTGTGCCACAGACACAGGCAGGGAGGGGCCACATCCCCCTGGCCAGCACTTGTGGCAGCAGCTGCCTCTCCCTCCCTGCCGGGGTGTGTGTGAGGAGCTGTTCCTGCCAGCAGCCCCTCCCTGTGCCCAGCTCAGCTCCCTGCCAGTGCTGACAGAGCCCATGCCCAGCCCAGGGCCCAGGGGCAGCTCTGCCTGGGCAGGGGCTGCAGAGCAGATCCCAGAGCCCCTGCGCTGGCTGGGAAGGGGCAGGTGTTGGCAGTGGATGTGCTTCCTGAGCAGGGCCCCTGCAAATGGCAGCAGGTGCAGCTGAAGCTGGGAGGAGCCCTGAGCCTGCAGCTGAAGGGCCCTGCCCAGCCCTGGCCTGCCAGGAGGGCTCACTCCTTCCCCCCAGCCCTTCTCCCTGCAGGGCCGTGGCAGCTCCTTGGCCGGGCTGAGAGCTGCCCCTGGCAGGCAGCAGAGTCCCTGCCCCAGCACACACAGCCCTGGGGGGCAGGACCCTGCTCTGCCCCACAGCCCTGGGCACCCCTGGCTGCACCCCCACCTTCCCACCCCACAGCCAGCCCTGGCACAGGGAACCTTCTGGCCCTGGGCCTCTGATGGGCCACCACCAAGTCCTGCTCTGCAGCAGCTTCTCCTGCTGCCCCCCAGCAAATCCAGCACAGCCATCCTGACAGCTCCTGCCAGGGCTGCCATTTGGCAGCTGCAAGAGCCACTTGCAGCAACTCCCCTGCACTGCTCTGCAGCCACAGCCTTCCCGTGCCAAAGGGCTGCCAAGGTTCCTCCCCTGAGCAGCTCTGCCCTGTCCTCCCAGCCCAGGATCCCTTTCACCTCCTGCTCCCTTCTCCTGCCTGCCCTTGCTGCCTGCAGCTCGTGCCCTGCTCTGCCATAGGGCCACTTCCTCTGCCCTGCAGGGACTGGGAGAGGCCTTCTGAAAGATCCTACAAGCTGTGGGATGTGGCAGCTTTAGGAGATCCCTGCCGGAAGGGAAGTTTAAGTGTCCTACAGCCAGAGAAATATCCATTCAAAACCTGGGAAGGTTTCTCCTGTAGTGAGAGCTCAGTCCCCTCCCAGCCCAGGCTGCCTCTCACCTCTCTGCCTTCTCTCCTGTGCCCTGGGTGCTGCAGACAGTGCCCTCAGCCCTGCTGGGCTGTGCAGAGGTGCTGCTCACCAGCAGAGCTGTCTCTTTGAAGCCCGGCCCAGCTCAGCAGCACAGCAACAGCCCCGGCATGTAATGACTCTCGTGGGGGGTTGATGATTTTTACAGCAGACTTTATCCCTGAGAGTGTGTCAAAAATATCCTCATGACGTCAAAATGAGATGGAAATTGCGAAGTTTCTTGTAGTGGTAATGGGTTCCACTGAGGGACACGACTGTGAAAGTGTTCCCAGATTTCAGTTGGAATAATAAACTGCAAATAGTGATGACAAGGATGGACAAGCAAGACAAAGGTGGCTCTGATGCTAAATAAGCATTGACTTGTTTTTTTAATCCAAAGGGTCAAGCTCTGACCCCCACCCCCTGGGAAGGCAGATCCTGTCCCTGCCTCATTGCTCAGGGCTCTTCCTGGGGCACTGGGATGTGGGATGTGCAATGCCAAGTCCTGGACGATGGAGTGGCACCTCCCAGGCTGCTGAGCAGGGACAAGGAGGCCATGGGGCCCCAGGGCTGCAGGGGTGACACCAAGGAGAAGGTGACACCAAGGAAGGGGTGATACCAAGGAGAAGGTGCCACCAAGGAGAAGGTGCAACCAAAGAGAAGGTGCCACCAACCCCCTCCACCTTCTCCCCCAATCCCTGATCCACCTGATTTCTCCTCTTCCCCCCCCTGCACCATTCAAAAAAAAAAAGTCCTTTTGGTGTCTCGAAGACCCTCCAGTTTCTAAACCCCCACAAATTTATGATCAATCCCTCCCAAACCCTCTGGAATTGCCCAACCACCCCCGGCTGAGTCATCGGTCACCGCCCACTGGTGACATCCTGGGGCGAGGCCCCACGCGGGGATGTCGCAACTTCCCACCAGATTCCAGGGGTTCTTCCCCTTTTTTCAGAGGGTTTCTGAGGGTTTCAGAGGGTCACGTGGGAGGACTAGGGAAGGGGAAGGAGCCACAGACAAGGAGGACACGGAGCAGGATGGAGCTGTGGCTGCTTATCCCGCTGCTCGGTCAGTCCTTCCCCTGTTCCTCCTCCTCCCTCCATTTTCCCAATCCTTCCCTTTTCCCACCCATTTCCCTGCCCTTTATCCCAACTCCTCCCAGGTTGCCTCCATTACCCTACACCTCTTCCCTTCCTCCACCACTTTTTTCCTTCATCACCATTTTTTCCTATCAAAAGTCACTTTTTTACACTTTTTCACACTTTTTCCCCGTTTTTCTTTTTTCCCCCATTTCTTCCCTTTCCCCCCTACTTCTTTCCTTTTTCCCTCCATTTTTTTTCTTTGTCCTACATTGCTTCCCTTATCTCCCATTTCATTGTGTTCCTTCCATTTCTTCCTTTTCCCTCCCATTTCTTCCCTTTTTCCCCCATTTCTTCCCATTATCCCTCATTTCTTTCCCTCTTTTCACCATTTCTTTCCCTCTTTTCCCCATTTCTTCCAATTTACCCCAATTTTTTCTTTCTTTTCCCCCATTTCTTTCCCTTTTTTCCCCCTCATTGCTTCCCCTTTCCCCCATTTCTTCCCTTTTACCCCATTTCTTTCCTTCTTTTCCCTCCTTTTTTTCTTCCCTTCCCCCCATTTCTTTCTTTTTCCTACATTGCTTCCCTTATTCCCAATTTCATCACCTTTTTCCTCTATTTCTTCCCCCCATTTCTTCGCTTTTCCCCCATTTCTTTCCTTCTTTTTCCCCTATTTCTTCCCCTTTTCCCCATTTCTTCCTATTTTCACCCAATTCTTCCTTCCCCCCCTTTCTCTCCCTTTTTCACCCATTTTTTTTCTTTTCCTCAGTTTTTTCCCCTTTTCCTCAATTTCTTCCCTTTAATCTCCCTTTCTTCCCTTTTTCCCCATTTCATCCCTTTTCCCTCCCACTTCTTCCCCCTTCCCCCATTTCTTTCCCTTTTCCTTTATTTCTTCCCCTTTCCTTCTTTTTCTTTTTATTTTTCCATTTTTTCTTTTTTCCTGTTTCTCTTTTTCCTCCCTTTCTCTCTTTCCCTCCCCTTTTTCTGTTTTTTTTTTAAATTCCTCCTTTTTTGTCCTTTTCTTCTTCTATTCTCCCCTTTTTATTATTCAGTTTTCCTCTTTTTCCCTCTTTTTCTTTTTTTTTTTTTTTAACTTTTCCATTTCTCCTTTTAATCACTTTTCCTGTTCTTTATTTTCCATTTCCCATTTATAATTCCTGGGTTTTGTCTTCCCATTTTTCCTTTTCCTTTCCCCTTTTTCTCTCTATTTTTTATTATTATTATTATTTGTTAATATTATTTTGTTATTTAATATTTCCTTCTTTTAAACTTCCTTTTTTCCTTCCCAAATTTTCCCTTTTCCTCTTATTTTCCACCTCTTTTCCCCCTTTTCTTTCTCATTTCTATGTTTTCCTCTTTTCCAGCCTCTCTCCAGACTCTCCTTCCCCGGGTGATACCTTCAGGTAACGCATTTTAGGGCAGAACCTCCAATCCAACCCAATCAACCAACTCAACCAACCAACCCACCCAACCAACCAACAACCCAACACACCAACTAACCCAACCCAATACATCAGCCTAAGCAACCAACCCATCAACCCAAACCAACCAACCAACCCAGCCCACCAACCCAACCAACCCAACCCAGCCCACCAACCCAACCAACCACCCCAACCCAACCAACAAACCCAACTAACCAACCAACACAACTCAACCCACAAGCCCAACCATCCAACTAACCAACCAAGCCAACCAACAAACCCAATCTACCCAACCCACCAACAAACCCAACCAACCAACCCAACCAACCAAACCAGCCAACCCAACCAACCAACCAACCCAATCAACCAACCCAATCAACCAATCTACCCAACCCCACCCCTCCCAGAGTTGCCTCCTCCTCCTCCCAACATCTCGGTGACACCAGAGAAGCCCCAGTACCTCATCGGTGACACCGTGTCCATCGTCTGCACTGCTCCCGGGGGGACCGAGGGGAAGCTCCAGGGCTTCCGGATCTCCGGCACGAGCGGTTGGAGCGTCGACGTCCGCACGTCACGGAGATCCTTCACCTACACCTTCAACATCACCGGCACCCACGACGGGGGGGCTCACACCTGCTCCTACACCCTCCTGCGCCCCTCCCGAGGCCCCGCCCACTCCCTGGAAAGCCAATCCATTGTCATTGCCATCAGAGGTGGGTGGAGCCTTCTCAGGCCCCGCCCTCCCCCAGTGGATTCTTCACCTCAGGCCTTCAAGGGGGAGGGGGTTCTCCCCCAAATTGCCTTGTTTGGACACACCTCCAAATAATGGCATGGATCCCTCTGGATCCGGGATCTGCTGGGGTTGGGATGGGGATAAAGTGGATCTGGGATCCACTGGAGTTGTGGAGTGTGGGGGTGGGAACCACCAGGTTTGGGGATCCACTGGATCTTGAGTCTGGGATCTGGAGGGTTTGGGGCTGGGATCTACTGTGTCTGGGATCTACTGGATCCAGAATCATCTGGATCAGGGATGTAGCGGGGTCTGGGGTTGGTGAGTTTGGGTCTTACTGAATCTGGGAGAAACAGAGCTGGGATCTGGTGGGTGGGGCTGCAATGAGCTGGATCTAGGGTCACCTGGTTCTGGGAGATGTGGGGCTGGGACCTACTGGGCTCAGGATTTGGGGGGTCTCGGGTCTGCTGAGGTTGGGAGATGGGGGCGGGGTGCAATAATCTGGATCTGGGATCCAGTGCAGTTGTGAAGCGTGGAGGTGGGGATCCACTGGGGTTGGGATCCACCAGGTTTGGGACCCACCAGGTTTGGGGATCTACTGGATCCTGGGTCTGCTGGGGTTGGGAGAACTGGGGGTGGCACCTGCTGCGTCTGGGATCCACTGGATCTTGGATCTTCTGGGTCTGAGATCTATCTGGGTCAGGGGGTGGTGGGTTTGGGTCCTACTGGATCTGGGAGAAATGGGGCCAGGATCTGGTGGGTCTAGGATCTAGTGGGTCTGGAAGGTGTGGGTCTGGAATCTACTGCATTTGGGGTGGGCGGGGGTAGGTTAAACAGGATCTGGGTTCATCTGGCCCTAGGATCTACTGGTGATGAGAGAGGTGGGGCTGGGGTTCCCAGGATCTGGGATCTTCAGGATCTGGGATGGGTAGGAGTAGGATCTCCTGGATCCATGGGGACCATGGGGCTGGGATTTAATGGGCATGGGATTTCAGGGACGTGGATCTACTGGATCGTGGATGTGTGGGGATGGAATCTATTGGATCTAGGATCTAGTGGGTCTGGGATACGTGGGGGTGGGTTAAACTGGATCTGGGATCATCTGGCTCTGGGATCTACTGGAGCTGGGCAATGAGAGGGTCAGGATCAACTGGATTTCCGATCTACTGGAGCCTGGCTATGTGTGGGTTGGGATTGACTGGATTTGGGATCCCCTGGATCCCGGTTCCATTGAGCTTCGGAGCTGTGGGACCGGAACTGACAGGGATCCATCCTGCTGGGGTGCGGGCTGTGATTCCGGGATCCAACTCAAATTTGGGGATCTTTCCCCCTCCTTCCCCTCCCTCTCTGCAGCCCCTCCCCCTGCCCCCTGGCTGTCCCCAACCCCCCCGGGCGGTGTCACCGTGGAGGGGCAGCCCCTCGGCCTCGTCTGCACCGCCCCCCTCAGCCCTGCCCGACAACGCCGATTCCACTTCTCCCGCGCCGGGTGGGAGGTTCTGGGGGTGATCCCGGGAATCCAGCAGATCCCAGGTGAAGAGGAGGCGGAGCTGAGGGTGGAGAGGAGCGACCAGAGCCACAGCGGGAATTACAGCTGCAGATACGAGGAGTGGGAGGAGGAGGAGGGGAAGTGGATCCTGTCGGAGCTGAGCGAGGAGGTGGCGGTCACGGTCAGAGGTGAGAGCTAAAGGGATATGGGGACAGATCCCAATGGATCCGGCCCCAAATCCCAGTGGATGCACCCCAAATCCCATCCCATCAAACCCCAAATCCCAACCCATACAACCCCAAATCCCATCCCATACAATCTAACCCCAAATCCCAGTGAAAAACCCCACCACCCCAAGATCTCCCTATTTTCCCCCAAATCCTGGGATCTGATGGTGTTTTCCCGGTTTTTCCCTGCCCAGAGCCAGCTCCTCCCCCTTCCCTTTGGGTGGAGCCTCCCTCGGGGGTGGTGGGGGAGGGGCAGTGGCTCCGCCTCCACTGCTCCTTTTCCCACCGGGAATTCGGGATTCGCTTCTGCTTCTTCCGGGATGGGGCGGAGATTCCCGTTGGGAATGTCTCCGAGCTGCTGTTCCTGCAATCCCGGCTGGAGCACTCCGGGAATTTCAGCTGCCGGGTGGAGGAGGAGGTGGGCGGGACCTGGGTGATGTCACCGCCCAGCCAGGGCCTGCAGGTGACAGTCAGAGGTAGGTGGGGCCTTCATCGCCCTCCCACCTTCATCGTCCTCCTCCATGGCCTTCATCTTCATCACCTTCATCTTCATCACCTTTGATCCTACTCTCTGACCTTCATCTTCATCACCTTCATCTTCCTCACCTTCCTCACCTTCATCACTTTCTTCCTCCTCCTCCATGGCCTTCATCCCCCATGAACCTTCATCCTCCTCCTCTTTGACCTTCCTTCATCTTCCTCACCTTCATCTTCACCACCTTTCTACCCCTCCGACCTTTATCCTCCCTGACCTTTATCCTCCTCCTCCTCCTCCCTGACCTTCATCACCACCTTCATCTTCATCAGCTTCATCCTCCTCCTCCTCCATGGGCTTCATCCCCCTTGGACTTTCACCATCCTCTCTGACCTTTATCCCCCTCAGACCTTCATCCTCCTCCTCTCTGACCTCCATCCCGCTCCTCCATGACCTTCATCATCATAACCTTCATCATCCCTGATCATCATCCTCTGACCTTCATTCCCCACAACTCCCTAAAACCCCCCAAAAATCCCCCCAAAACCCTCCAAATGCCTCCAAACCCCCCAAAATCCCCCCCAAATCTCCAAAACACCCTTAAATCCTCCCAATCCCCCAAAAAACTCTCAATAATACCCCAAATGCCCTCAACCCCCTCTCCAAATCCCCCCTAAACTTCCCAAAACTCCCCCAATCCCCCAACGCACCCACTAAATCCCCCCCAGCCCCTGGCCACGCCCTCTCTCTCCATGACCACACCCTCATGACCATGCCCACCACCCCAATTACCACACTCCCCTCTCCCCATGGCCATGCCCCCTCTCCATGACCACACAAACAGTCCCTGACAACAACCTCTCTCTGACCCCACCTTCTCTCTGCCCTCCTCCCTCAAGCCCGCCCTTCCCAGCCTACCTTGCTCCTGGTCACACCCCCCGGCCACGCCCAGCTGCTGCTCACCTGCATCGCCCCCTCCAGCCCCGCCCACAATGACCATGTCCCATCCGGCCCCGCCCACTCTGGCCCCACCCAGCGGCGTTTCTACTTCTTCCACGGCGGCGTCCAGAGATTGGTCGACACCACGGTGGGCAGCCAATCACAGCTCAGCCTTGCCCTGGCCACGCCCCCCAGTGACACTGAGGCCACGACCCCCCAGGGGGCCTTCACCTGCCAGTACGAGGAGCAGTTGGGGGAGGGGTGGGTCCTGTCCCCTCCCAGCGACCCCCTGACCCTCCCCCCGCCTCCTGGTGAGTCTCTCAAAAGTAGTGGGGGGAGAAGGGGGCGTGGTCATGGAGATGGTGGGTGTGGTCACAGAGGTGGTGAGTGTGGCTGTGGAGATGGTGTTCCGAGGTGGTGGAGGGGATTTTAGGGGCATTTGGGGCAGATTTGGGGGAATTTTGGGTTGGGGGCTTGGAGGATTTGGTGAGGATTTTAGGGGGATTCTGAGATGTTTATGGGGGTTTTTTGGAGGGGTTTTCAGGGAATTTTGAGGGATTTTGGGGGGATTGGGGAGGATTTGGGGCAGATTTGAGTGAATTACGGGTTAGGGGAGGTGGGTGGATTTTGGGAGGGTTTTGGGAAGGATTTGGGTGGATTTATGGGGGATTTTGGGAGGATAAGGGGGTTTTTTTGAGAGATTTGGGAGGATTTTGGAGGGATTTGGAGAGCATTTGGGGGGATTTGAGGAGGATTTGGGGGGATTCTTGTGGCATTTGGAAGGATTTTGGGGGATTTGGGGCAGATTTGGAGTGATTTTGGTGGCATTTGGGGGATTTTAGAATGATTTTGGGGAGATTTGAGGGGATTTGGGGGGATTTATGGGGGATTTTTGGAGGATTTGGGGAGATGGGGGGGATTTTGAGAGGATTTGGGGAGATATTTTGAAGGGGTTTAGGGGGATTTGGGGAGCTTTTGGGGGGGATTTTGGGAGGATTTTGAAATGATTTGGGGAGGATTTGGGGCCTTTGGGGGAGATTTGACAGGATCTGGAGGGATTTAGGGGGGATTTGGGGGACTTAGGGCTCATTTCTGACCCAGGGGGGGCCACTGGGGGGGTTTCACGCCTAGGCCGGCTCAGGCTCCTCCCATTGGTCATTGGCTGTGCCGTGGGCGGGGTTGGGATTCTCCTCGCACTCCCATTGGCTGTTTGGATGTACCGGAGGAAGAGAGGTGAGGAGGGGGCAGGGACAATTTCCCATTTGCACCCCAAAATCATCCCTTTTCACCCCGAAATTATCCCTTTTCCTCCAAAATGGACCTTTTTCCCTCAAAATGGACCTTTTTCCCAAAAATTTTCCTTTCTCCCTGTAAAAAAATCATCCGCTTCTTCCAAAAAACCCATTTCCCCCAAATCACCACTTTTTTTTCCAAAATTGGCCCTTTTCACCCTAAAATCATCCCTTTTCACCTCAAACTTCTCTTTTTTCTCCAAAATCGACCTTTTCACCCCAAAATTGCCAATTTTCCTCTAAAATTGACCTTTTCACCCCATATAATTAATTTTCCTCTAAAATGGGCCTTTTCACCCCAAAATTGTCCATTTTCCTCTAAAATTGACCTTTTTGCCTCAAAATTGTCCATTTTTCTCCAAATTTGCCCTCTTTGCCCCAAAATTGCCCATTTTCTTGCAGACTTCTAGCTTTTCATCCCAAAATTGCCACTTTTCATCCCAAAATTGTCGTTTATCCTCCAAAATTGACCTTTTAATCCCAAAATTGTCCTTTTAATCCCAGAATCCTCCCTTTTCCTCCAAAATTGCCACTTTTCACCTCAAAATTGTCCCTTTTCCTCCAAAATGGACCTTTTCACCCCCAAATCCTCCCTTTCCCTCCCCAAATGCCCCTTTTGTGCCCAAACTCTCTGGTTTTTGCCCCAACCCCAGGGAGTTCCCGCTGGCGGGGTTTGAGCTCCGGTGGCGACTCCAGGACCCTCCCCATGGGCGATGTTGCCTGAGCCAGACCCCACCCACCAAGATGGCCAATGGCACCCCAGGATGGCTAGCGTTGAGGCCACACCCCCAAGATGGTTGCCATTAAAGCCACGCCCTCCATACCACTGGCAGTCATTTTGGGGGGCGTGGCCAATGTCAAGCTGATAAACTTGATGCTGTTTGGTTGACTCTGACCCTGCCGTGTCCTGATTGGTTCACTTTGGGCCCTCCCTGCACTGCAATTGGTCCTCCTGGGGGGGGAGGGAGGATCCAGGATCTCCTGAATTGAGATCTCCAGGGGTGGGATTTGTGGGATCTGTGCAGGATCTCTTCAGGTGGGTCTATCCAGGATTCACCATATCCATCGGATCCGCTGGGGGAGAGGGGGGAATTCCCAGAGCTTAGATCTACCAGGACTGGGATCCACTGGAGCTTCTGGGCCTGCTCGATCCAGTGTCTGTTTGGGATCCACCAGGTCTGGGACGACGGGGGTTGAGATCCACTGGGTCTGAGATAGACCCAAGTTTTGGGATCCAGTGGATCTGTGGTTGATGGGGGTCAATGGGGAGGGAGTGTGTGTGTGGGGGGGGAGGGTGTGGATCTACTGGATCTTGGACCGACCGGGGCCAGTAGTGTGGACTGAGGGATCTACTGGATCTAGGAGCGAGGGGGTTTTGGGATCCACTGGATCTGGGGTTGGTGTAGGTTTGGGATGGGAGTGGGTGGGTAGGTAGTGATCCACTGGATCTGGGACCATCCGGGGTTGGGATCCACTGGATCCAGGTTCTGGGGAGGCGTGGGGCTGGGATCTACTGGATCAGGAGGTGTGGGGCTGTAGATCTGGGATCCACTGGATCAGGGACTGTTGTTGTCAGGGCAGCCAAAAGATAAATGCCAGGCACAGTGTGATGATCAGAGTCTGAGTTTATTGCTCAGCTCAGCCCTATTTATACACCTTCTGCGAGTAGAACTTTATATTCCTTTCTATTAATAGCCCTTTATCTATGGTCTATTATTAGCCCAGCATAAACCTTACACACAAGTGGACATTCATGCCTTATTTACCCCCTAATCCCATTGATCAGTTTCGGATCCTTCTCAAACCTTCTCACTGCTCTTGTGATTCTTCAGGGAAATGGTTTTAAAGCATCTCAGTCTGTATCCTCCACCAGGGGGTCTGCAGACCCACTGCGTACCCCAAAACAGAGGGGTGTCCATTTATTGCCAGCAAACAAAACCAAAGGAAGACAACTGTAGGGGTTACCAGCAGGTCTGTTGTCTCCCTGGAAGGAGATTGACTTGGCAGACTTTCAAGTGTATCCTCAAAGACAAGAAAGCTTTATACACAACCTAATTAGAGAACAAAGACAGACTGTAAGTCCGTAAGTTTGAGGTGTGAGAACCGCAGCCTTAACCTTGAACATCTCCAAGTATATCACGATTACTGCCAAATGTATCAACCCTCATTAACTTGATACCTTGGAGTTTTGATTTTTTGTAGATCTTAGAAGTAGTTATGTAGTAAATGTGGATTTTAGAGTAGCAGCGTGTGGGGTTTCCTCGGGCAAGCACGGACGACTCAGCACACCAATATGATTATCAGAGAATGCCATTTATTCAAATTAAGCGGTGGTCCATCCTTCTTGTATCTTGACTGGCACTCCTGAGCTCAATGACCAAATTTGTCACACCGACTACAGGTGCCTGCAAAAGATGTCTCAGGATTACCTGTAACAGCTGGTTGTTTTGATTTCTTGGGACAGTCTCGTTTCAGGTGTCCTGCTTGTCCACACTGGTAACATACTGCCTTTCCTTGTCCTCCACAGTTGCCATGTCCTTGCCGTATTATAGGTTTTAAAGCTGTTGCTAATGCATTAGCATGTGCCTTGGCTTGCATGTCAAGTATTCGCTGTTCTTCTTCAATGATTGGTGCCCTTGAACAGGCCTCAATCATATCTACTACGGTAGCTGTTTTTGGTAAGGCAGCTGTAACTTGTTTACATTGCTTATTTGCATTAAGCACAGCCAAATCCTTTCGAACTGCACCCTTGGCATCAGGAATAAGATTAGGAGATGCCTCAATGTCCTCTTTCAGTCAATTTATAAATTCCATATATGGTTTGTTGGGCCCTTGCATTATTTTACTATAAGGTGGCACTGGTTGTCCAATCTGTGGCACTTCCTTTACAGCTGCTAAAGCAAGGGCCTGAGCTTGCTACAATATAGATGGATGCAATGCAACCTGCACATTCGATTAGCAAACTGTCCCTGTCCCAAAAGCATGTCTTCAGTAGCAGTAGTTAATGGATCATCAGGTCCTCTATTCAGGTTTTCTACCTGAGCTATCCGCACTTTATTCTTCCAAAAACAACAATTGTTGTGTAGGATCAAAAAACATTTGTATCACAGCCTTAATGTCAGTTTGAGTTAGAACTTGGCTTTTAAAAAACTGTTCTAACATTTGTTGTACATATTTATTATCAAGTCCATATTGCATGATGGCACGCTGTACCTCTCTATTTGTTTTCCAATCTATGGGTGCCCATTGCATTTGTCCATGCCCGTCTGCAACTACACAGTAAGTAGTAATAGCAGAAGGCAATTTATATCCTTCAAGGATTGCGTGTTCAATCACACCCTTCCACCTGTGTCCTCATGAATAATCAGGATCTATTGGTGGTGGTGGTGGATCAGGAATATTCCCACTTTTGACACTGGATGTCACTGTTTGTTGCGATTGTGGAGGATTTGTTAAACGTCGCATACCCTGATATCGATCACTGTCCTTCTTTCTCATAACTTCATATTCCTCTATCAATTCCTCACGAATCCCTCCATACCGGTCTTTAATATACTGATCTGCCTCTTGATGAGACATAGATCCATCCTCCACACACATTTCAGCTCATCTCAAGGTTCTCCTGATTTTTTCAATATCATCAGTCCTTTTATCTTTACATGTCTTACTAAAAGACTGCTGAATGGGCTCTGGCTGAATGGGTTCTATTTTCGTCTCTACAGTTGCTGACTCTGCCAAATAGTCCAAACTCTCTTTGATAGTCCGTGCTGCTTTATCATACATTCTTTGAATTTTCTTATTATTTGCCGCGCTAGTATCTATTCGGCGCATTTCCCCCAACAAGTCCTCTAAATGTTTGCTTTGTTTCCACACTTCTTGCACGATAGGATCAGGGTGAAGCTGATCCTGTGCCGTGGCAGTTTCAGGCTGCACAGAACCTGGATTGTCTATTTCCATATCACTATCATCATTTGGTAAAGGAACATTTTCAGGTTTTTTAAAAGACTCATATGGAGGAATTGGAAAAAACCCAGACACCTGTTCAGCAGGTGTTAGCGGCGCAGATGGAACAACAAGACTACTACTCCAGAAATTTGTTTCCTCCGAAGGAAACGGAGTAATCGGGACCTTCCTGTCTTTTGTGGCGGCTTCCGGCCCTGCTGCTGCAACTTTCAACACCTCAGCTTTAAGCACTGCTGTCACAGACACGTTCGGCGCCTTGGCTGTGGCTTTAAGCACTGCAGCTGCAGGCACATTCTGTGCCTCAGCTGCAGCTTTAAGCGCCAGTGTTACAGGTGCATTCGGCACCTCAGTTACAGCTTTAAGCACCAGTGTTACAGACACGCACGACTCTTTTGCTGCAGGCGCTTTCAGCGTCTCAACCGCACTCAAAAGAGCTTGCTTCAATTTTTGAACTTCTCCCGCTTCTGCAAGGGCTTGCTCCAGCATTCTAACACAAACATCCCACACAGATGCCAGACGTGCTGCATCGGCATTCCCTGCACAGACAGCTTGCTACAGATTGTCTCCCAACTGATTCCATACAGTAAGAGAGAACACTTGATCTGTGTCTTGAAAAAACCCTTTCTGCTGCCCCCACCACAGCAAGTCTTCTAAATCAACAGTCTGAACTGAAACAGGAAGGGTTAATCGAAACGCTTTTACTGTAAACCCACAAGAGGCCCCCCCTTACCCCCTGTATTTTGTTTACTGTAAGCTGTACTTTTACAGGAAGGCTATGGGCATTAGACCTTAAAGGAACCACAACAAACACTAGACAAAGAACTCAACACACATAAATCTCATCCAGAGGAACCAAGGTAGACATTTGAATAGGTAAAGTAGGTCTAGAGCCAAGGTTTTCTTCAAGCCTGGACATTCAGAACACAGAACAATGGAAAGAACAGAAGGTCCCCAAGGTCACCCAACGATGAGGAGTAGATTTGCGACCCCAGGATGAAGGCAAGACTGGAACTACCCTAATTTATTCCTCAAAATAGAGACCACGCCTCAATCTCCACCCCGACTCCACCTGCTATGAATATTGTAATCTAATGATGCAATAATATGAATATGCATGTGATTATGTTGTAATCATGATTAGAAACTGTATAAATTGCTTGTTTTTACTGAACCACTTCGGAGCTTTTTGTCCGACCTGAGCTGGAAGCTACCTCGACGTCGCAAATAAATACCTGCTGTTTATGGGCTCAAAATTCTGCCTTTAAGCAGTTTTCTTTTATCCGCCTTTTTGGGCATCATAACCTCTGTCTCTGTTGTTTTTGCTAATCTTAGCAATAACTTTAACGTTGCCTTTTCTTGCACAGATACTGTGTTTCCCATGGTTACCACGCCCGTAAGCTTACATTTCCTACCTCTCTCGAGCAACCTGGTGCTTTACGATTAAGTACCACCGGCCAGTAACCCTTTCCTTGCCTTTTCTTTAGAAGAACCTGTGTTTGTTCCTTACTGGATCACGTCGCGAGTCACAAGTTGTGGGGTTTCTCACGCAAGCACGGACGACTCAGCACATCAATGTGATGATCAGAGAACGCCATTTATTTAAATTAAGCAGCGGTCTTTTATACAGTTTTCTAACAATACTCTTCTATTAGCTTTGTTTCTTTAACATTCTTTATGTCCTTTCCCACTCTGATAGCTGGTACTGAGACCCTGTCTTCTATATCTAGTTTTGCTACTGTTTCTCTTAGTAAATCTTTCACATCCTGGTACCATCAGAAGGCCATCAGAACAACAGATCATGTTTTCAGAATTGAAACATAAGATTATTTCTCATAGCAGCATATCCTCTAGTTAGCAACATAAGATTGTGTTCTCACAGCAGCATATTTTCTGTGTTAGCAACATAAGGCTATGTTCTCACAGCTTGCAACA